GGTCTTAACTCATGCATGAACCCATTAGCACATCAAAGGTGGCAAATTTCTGCCTTAGGGACTCATTTAGAACCGAGAGTAGCAAATCCAAGTCCTAGAAATCAGATTGAACCACAAAGCTTCAACCTTTGGACCAAAATGGTCCCAAAACCCAATCTAAGAGATCTAAGGAGATAATCATCAAGTTCATGACTTTATACATTAAAAGATCTATAAAGAAGCAACAATCCAAGATCTGAACTTTCTCTTTTGCACCAACACCTTGCCTTGACCTTTGCTTCCTTGAAGAGTGGATCCAAAACATCAAAATGTTCACACAAAGCCTTCCAAGCTCCAAGAACACTCAAAGATGATTAGGGTTTCGTCAAAACTATCCTTTGGGGGTATAACATTCTTTATATAGTGACAGACCCTAAAATTATGGTTTAAAGACTCTGGGCATACTTCTCATACGTTGGGCGTACATCTCCAATACCCGTGACTCCTCATCCCTTCTATGTTGGGCGTACCCTAGCTTACGCTGGGTGTACTCATCCTGGGCACCTTCCTTGCCAATTTTCTCTATTAAGGACCAATGATGCCAATACCCTAAAAGTACTATAAGTTCTTCATTCTAAGTCCGTTTCCTACAGACTTGATATCCACGAAAAGGGTGATGAGAAACCCTACGCTCCCAGCTCCACACCCGAGCCCTACAACCTTTCGAATAAGACCCGAGACCCATAAAAACTGAATCGTCAGATTACGCTTACAGAAGCCTTACTCCTCCAAAGCTCATTTTCATTTTGGAATCTCTTCATCCTCAGAAGCTTCTGTTATGAAGATTCTAAATGAAATACAATTCCTCTTCCTCATCCAGAAACTACCTGCTAAGGTCATCAAGAAATTCATACTCAAGAAGCTCAATATAATGATGCCAAGGGTAAAGGTTGCGAAGAAAATAAGGATAATGATAAAAAGTCTGAAAGTTCCACTTCAAACATGGGATCCTTCAACAAAAGCACTATGAATCTGTTTTCCTTATTGGAACTCCAAGACAATGTTGCCACTGCTAACTCTAAAGTTGGAAAGGTTACTCAGCAAGTCGCAGGTCTTGACTCAAAAGTCGAAATTTTACTCAAATCTCTTTCCGAGATCAAACCTGGTACTCCCTTGGAACTTGATAGATCCAATAAGTTAGACCAACTTATCTCTCTTCATGTCAAGTGCACTTTAGAAGAAGTTGAGGAAAGATACAATGGCAACCTTGATCACACCTCTCTACTACCTCCATCATGCTTAAAATACATGATGAAATGGTTACTACTTCCTATGAATTTATCAAGCAGACTCATGTTCTTCATGAGAAACGAATTTAGAGGCTATAGAAGGAAACTTGTCACAAGGATGCCATGAACATGGTTATACAGGAAGTGCTTATCAAATTCATCCATTCAGTTCAACATCTTGTGGACACTCCAAACCACAAATTTGATAAGGTTCTCATCATTCTAGATGAAACATTCAATCAAATCAAAGCTCAAGCTCCAATAGCCGGTGCTTATTATTCACTCTCCAAGTAAATCAACATGATCTTTCAATGGGTGTTTAACCGCTTAGACACGTTGAAATCAGATGTATTGCTTGCATCGAAGATAGGGTTGTCCCATGTAATAGGGGGAGATAGGTCAATTCAATGGAAACCAATCTTAAAATTTGTACTTCGAGATGAAAACTTTGATGAAAAAATCATGCTAATAGAAGATTCTGAAGAAGATGATGTTGATGAAAACAATCTAGTTAGTAATGAAGTTCTTCGACTTCAAGCTATTAAGGAACAACCTATCATCTCCAAAACCCTATCAGAAGAAGAGAAGAAGAAACGGTCAGTAGTTTCTTGGCCATCAACTCTAGCAGAAGCTTTCAAAAGAAGTCGTGACATTGCTAGGTTAAAAACAAAGCTGAAAATTGAAGCCTTCCAAGCTACTTAGACAATGTCTCATCCGACTTATGCTCTGAAGATTATTCAAATTGATGAAGGATCTCCTATCAAGAAACCTGATGAAATTCCTAAAGAACCTTTAGTACCTCTTACATTTGAGCTAGTTATTACTCTATAAGGTTATCAAATCATATCAACCATCTCTACTCTTGGAGACCAATCAAAAGACAAAGGAAAAAGGGTCGCATTTGAATCAGACAACCTAATGAAGTCGTTTAAAAGTCTGAGGGCTGGTGCAAAGAACAATTGCAACAAGCACTGGAAGAAATCATCCAGATTCAATCTCTAAAAGACAATCCCAATCCGATGTTGGGCATATCTCCTCTTTTCCGAGAAGGAGTCTTACACGACATCAATTTTGTACCCTCCATGTACTTTGATCTTCCAACAAATGATGCATACCAACTTGACTTACCAATCTCTCCTCATGGATGCTACTACATCAAGTTCGCACCTTTATATCCATTAGATGATTCTCAATCCATCATCCGAACTGAGCGTGAGATATTGAGAACCTTATAATCCACCAACACACGACCTCAAATGGAGGTGTGGTCTCAGAAAAGAATTCCCAAGATTGTTGGCTAGGTAATAAGGGTAAAAACAAGTTTGATCTCAATTGTCTTCTTTACAGATTCTCTGTATCTTGGAACAAGCAATCCACTATCACCATCCCAGATGTATACTTTGCCTTCTTGGATCCAAATGACATTCTCACTATAGCTTTTCATCTCAGAGATCATCAAACAAATGAATCAAGCATTGGAGTTTACAAGTCCGCGATCAACTTTCTCAAGGACTACACTGCTGAGTATTGTATATCTAATGTGGAGTTTGCTCACATTTTTGGAACTAAAGAGCTTTTGGCAAAAATCACCTATGAGCTTCTTGAGGCTTAGATCTTAGTAGAAGGTCCCATTGCAGAGCCTGCACTTGGTTATGTCTATCTCAAGAAAAAGTCTAATCAAAAGTATTTTTTTTCCAATTTCTTAACAAACATCTCCTTCCCACCAAGATTCTTCAGAAGTTTATCATGAATGCTTCCAAAAGTGATTCTTCTGAACACATCAAGAAGACAAGATCAGTCTGAGATATAATCTTTGTTTAGAAATGTTTTGTTCCTTTAATGCATTTAATATTGAAAGTACTTTTTTTGTACAATTTTTGTTGTACTTCTTTTGTACGATTCTTGTTTTTTTCTGATTTGTCTTTTAGCTACTCCTTATCTATTTAAAGAGTCATCTACCTTGTATCTCATAGAGAAGTGTACACCTTTTGCACCATTATCAAGAAACATTTAGTCAAATCATTCTTTTACATTCTCCTTGTTCTAAAAGCACTTTACATTGTTCATACTTATCATTCATTTCGACACAAGGCTGGTTTACCAGAATTAACTGGATCTTTATTATTACCAGACATTGATCTTAAGTTAATTCAAGATTTGAGTTCTTAAACCTTGTCTGCAGAGTTCTTTCCTTTCACAAATTGATTTTCAACAAATCCTAACATAAATAAACATTCCCTTAGTTAATAGTAAGAAATAGATAACTAATTATTACCAATTAACAAATAACAAATTACGATACATATAAAAATGACAAAAGACCCCAATTTAGAGCCAACAGCGGAGCAAGGCGGTAACAGATGCGGAGTCAATTAAGCAAAGAGAGAGAACCGATCGTCGATAGTGGAGGTATGGGTGTTGGTAAAGCTAGGGTTTGGTGGGAGGTGGAATAGGATGACGAATAATAATGGACCTTGTTTCTTGTGACTGACGTTAAGACAAATAGAAAAAGAGGGAAGATGGAAAAATAGAAAGGAAGGATGGGTTTTTGTTTGTAAGGTTTACAGAGAGAGCAGAAGTTGATCCTCCTCGTATGAAGCTTTATTGATAAGAGTGGATTTAATCAAAAAGAGATATATATGGAGGTGAAGCAGACGATTGGTTGACAAAAAGGTGGAGGAAGCAGATGTAAAACACGTGTGTTGTGATGAAGGGACCAAAACTGCAAACCTTTAAAACTTGTTTGGCCAAAATCTGAAGCTTAGAATGTGTAAGTCCCACAACTTGGATCTTCTCAAGGTATCAATGCTATTGTTTGATTTAATGCGTAATCTTAATCAAACAATTCTATGAAACAAACAAGGAATTAGAAGAATCAATGAACACGTTTGAATGAATGCACACTATTCTATCAATCAATTGCCAGGTACATTCAAACACTCTTAAACCGTGAATACTCTCCAACTCCCAAAAACGCATTAACCTAGAATAGCTATACCTAGACCATATTTATATTACACCAATTAACCTAAAGCCCAAAGACAACAAGCCCACCAAAATCACTAAGCCCATCATTGGTTTCGTTCCAGAACCGAGAACATATATGACATACAAAACAAAGCATAAAACACAAAATATAGTCCAACAATCTCCCCTTGGTTTAATGCTTTTAGACTTCTTTAAGGCTTTTCCACAAGGTGCATGTCCGCCTGATCAAAGTCCCCAACCCATAGTTTCCTTTTAATTATAGTAGCAACCATTCCGGTGAAGGCTTTTTCCGTAGCTTCAAACAATTCATTCTCAACAATTATTTGAAAGTTTGACAAACTTTGGATATCATGTTCACAAAACTTCAATAAGCCTTTGGGATCAACAATGCGATACAGGCTCTTTTTCAGCTTGATCACTACGGAAGCAGTAGCATCATCATAAACCCAGAATTGCATTGAGTCCAAAGTGCCTTCTAGTAAATGTTTAGGAAGCAGAATACTTTTAGCTTGCTTTGTAGGCGGTCACATAACATTCAGCATGGTTTTATTAGTGCGTGGATCAATGACATCCTTGTCCTTTTGTCGTAAACAATGAAGCAGACCTCATGCCTTCGAAGTTATCTTTAGCTTTATCCTCAAGAAAATTCTTAAAAGACCAGGCCATGGGTTCATTTGTTGGATTATACAAAGAAGCATGAATAAGTTTAGAAATACAAACTTTTGTCTAGGACAGAAAGTCGACTTATTTCTCATAATACTCAATCTGTTCGCTGTAACACTTTACGATCCACATTTTCTTATCTGCATCATATCCCCACATCAAAATGCCAGAACGATCTCCATACTTGTCTGTAAATTTCTTCCCAGTCTCCCTAAAAAACATCTCAGGGTGATCCCCTAGAGAATTTTGGTTAGAATGCTTCATGACTAGCATCTTTCCTCTCAGTTGCTCAACCATGACTTGATTTTTCTGCTTTCTTGAGCAGAAGTAAGACCATAAGATACAAATTGTCAATATTTGCATTAGGAGTGGGTCTAACAACTCTTTCACTTACATGTTGATAAATTGGATTGACTGGACCAGAACTAGAGGCAGAAATCTTTTCACCTTCAGCACTTAAAGGTTGAAAATCATCCCCAAACTTTTGATGTAATCAAAGTTTAGGTCAAAGAACAAGGCAGTTAGACCACCAAGATTTGCTTGAAGTTTTGAAATATTTAGCTCTTTAATGAAGTTCTCTTTTTCAAGATCACTGATTCGAATGTCCTAGCTTCCAATAATCAAATCCTTTTCAGCTGAGCTCTATTCTAAGTCAAAAACTTTGTTTTGAAGCAGAGCAACATCAACAAACTCATACTCAGGCAGCTTGCTCTTGCCTTTTGAAAAATTCAGAACGGGGGCCTCAAAAGAACTTCCAGAAGCTTGAGCCCCTTCTGAAGGGAATACTTTTTGTTTAACAATAGGGCTTTCAAAGTCCTGATCCATTGGAGTGGAGTCAGGTACCGGGCTTGAAATCTCTTACATCACTAGCAAAGACTCAGTGAATGTGCTTTCAATATTCTAGGCTACAGAAGTAGGTTCAATAGGAGTAGATACATTTTGAACAGGGTCTGTGACAAGTACTTTAGGTCTTGGATCTCTTCTTTTCCTCTTCCTCGGGAGTATAACATGAGTAGAATCTCCTTGATCACTTTCAGACGGAGGTTTAGTTATATCAGGAACTATTTGGGGAGGCTTCCTCGCAGTTCACTGTAATTCAGTAATACGAGCATCCATCTATTCAGAGGTAGGCGTATAAGATTGCACAGTTGAGTCACGATCTCTTTCAATCACATCAGAAGGTGTGACAGCCACATCCTCTTCAGGGATTGAGATACTTTGTAGAAAATATTCAAACTCATTCTCTATCAAATCCTTTTCTTAACCCTCTTCCTCTTCTTCATCAGATATTTCAACATCTTCGAATGCATATTGAAATTTTGGTGTAGGTGCCACATGTTCCTTGGCAATCTCAGCATTAATGGAACTGGCAGCAAGAGTGTTTTCAACTTCAACAAACTTTTTAACCAACTCCTTCAACCCTTGATAGGCAACTTTGATAGCTTTTCTTGATTGCTTCATGAGTCCAAAGGTGTTGGGACCCAAAGCTTTCATGTCCAAAGTATCAGACGACCTCTCAATTTGGAGATTTTTTCATTCAGGATCATTTGAATGAACCTGGGATACATCAAAAATAGGTCCTTCTTCTTCTTCCACTGGAGTTTGCCTTTTCATTTCTTCAAAAACAAATTTCTAAAAGTTGTATTCCTAGTTCATTGCTAAAGCGACGATAGCTGACGTCATAGTCTGACTAATTTCGTCAGATCCTCCCTTCCTTCCAGAAATGCAAGTCACAAAATAGTGTGCCAGAAGTATCCAGTAAGGTGGAAACAACTTTTTGATGGTGGGAGGATAGGTTCCTTCATAGCACATCTTCTTAAGAACTTCCTTCACTTGATCCATAGAGTACTCAATTGGAAATGCAAATGCATCACCAAATTCAAGTACTTGTAACACCGAAAATTTTAATACAAAATTTTCATTTAAAATCATTTATCTCTTTAACACTTTTCATGAAAATCTCCCTTTTTGTTTAAATTACAATACATGACTCTTTTGTTCAATCAATTAATAGACCAGGATCCTGAAAACCAACGTTTCTTCTGGTGTGCATAATCGAGCCGGTGCCGTCCCGTGATCCGGAGAAAACCTGAAACACATCAAAAAACACTGTAAGCACGATGCTTAGTGAGTTCCCCAAGATACCACTCTGATACATATTAGCCACTCAAGGCTATAACTCTGTGGGCCCTTGGGCCCTAACTTTATGGACCCAGAGGTACTAACTCTGATAACTCTGAATCATGCATATCACATATCATAATAAATCTCATAAAATAAATAGCATAAAAATACACTGACACATAACTCTAAACCTAACTCTGTGGACCCTCTGGTCCTAGCTCTGTGGACCTTCCGGTCCTAACTCTGATATACACACAACATAAATCACATAAAAATATGCAGTGCCACGCATCGCATAAATAGCATACAATAATTCTGTCACATAACTCTGTTACCACTCTAGGTAAAGTATAGTGAGAAGACTCACCTCAAACGAAGTCGGATGAACTCGCGTGCTCAACGTCCCGACCTAGCCTCCTCCTATTATTCAAATAACATCCCCGATCAACACTCTCTCATTGTCTCAGCTCTAAAGATTGGGTAGAAGACCATTCAACCCTTCCCTGAACTTTCTTAAGTCAGTCTCGACCAAAACCCTAAAGTCAACGAAAGTTAACGGTCAAACTTTGACCCGACTCATCGAGTGCACATGGGCGACTCGGCGAGTCCACATGTGTCCACTGAATCCTCCTTCAAGCCTCACTTGACACGTCGATCCAACCCCTGGCTTGACGAGTTACACCTATTATGAATCGCGGGGCAACCCCAACTCGACTCGTCGAGTCTTTTCATGAACTCGGTGAGTTGCTCCCATGACAACACTCATCTGGCCTTCTAAGGTCAGATCCGTTCCTCTAATCCATAGATCTGTCTTATGACCAGTAACCACAAAAGGTCGAATCTTGGTACACATGCAAGTCTCTCTATGCTTATTTTGGTGAAATCCTTCATATCATGACAACCCTAGCTCATAACTCTAAGGAAAAGGCATAAAGCAGAATGGAAGGGACTCTTTGGACCTCTTAAGGTCCAGATCTAGGAATCATTTCACCATGGGACCTTTCATACTCTAGATTCAAGCTAAATAAAGCATGAAGAAACCCTAGATTCATGAAATCAAACGAAGATGGACATGAATCCTTACCTCTCACAGCACATCTAAACGAAATGATGGAAGATTTGAGTCCCACAAGACAGCCCAACTCGAAATCCTTCCTTCCCTTTTCTAAGACACTCCAAAGGATGATGAATTAGCCCTCCTCTTGCACTACAAGCTTCCTCTTTGCTCTCTATGCTTTCTCAGGATGTAGTGGCTGCAAATGAAGGCCATAAGGACCTTTAAATAGGTCCCAAACCCGAGAAATTAGAGTTTCTCTGCCCAGCACCTACTCGGCGAGTCCCTCATTTGACTCGTCGAGTCCACTCATTAAATCCGCGTGAAAAACCCGACTCGAATCAGCGAGTTGGATCCTCAACTTGTTGAGTCTCTCTTTAATCAAAAGATTAAACTACACAACAATAACCCTGAAAATCCGGATGTTACAGTACTTCTCGGATTACTTGATCAGAAACAATTACTTGAGTTCCCTTCACCATTGATTCGACAACACCAGCTCCATCTGCTCCTTGCTTGTTGATTGAAGCATTTATCCAAAATTCAGTGATTAAGTCTTTGTGGATGACTGGATTAGCACGGAGGGCATGACAAATCCTGCAGTTGTTCAAACCAACCATCATGGATTTGAATTCTTGATGAGCAGCAGGTGGATCCATAAGATATCCAACAATATTGTGAGAGTCTAAAAAATTAATCTGCTATGCCATTTATCTGCACCAAACTAGCCAAGTGAGAATTGACTAAAAAATTAAAAATTAATTAAATTAAGTTTATAATTTGATTTCGGTATTTAATCGATTTCGATCAAAGGCAAAACTTCAAACGTTTTTAGTTATAGTCAAATATTCCATCGATTTCAGTCAAAACTGATCGATTTTAGTCAAAAAGACTTTTGACCAGACATTTTCGGCCGAGAACCCCGATTTTGGTCGGATCTGAATTGATATCGGTCGAATCCAGGTTGGACTGAAAACCCACGGAACCTGTTCTAATTCAAAATTCTAAAACCTTCGAACAATCCACTCGAAACCTGCAAATCCATTGAAACATGTACACCGAAAATACTTTAAACATCATTGCCATGATCAAAAATCACATATCTACCTGATTCATCGAAGTATTGGCAACACAAACACCAAAAATTAACAGATTTTTTAGGAAATATTGAAAAGGTTTGAAGAAAGGACAGTAATGGCGGATTAAGGTTCTCAAAGGTAAACCCTAATCAGCCGAAAACAAGGCATATATATACCCCCGGAAACGGCCTAGATGGCTCACCTCAAAGATTTCGGCCCAAAATAAAATAAACAAGATATATAAAAAATTTCTTTCGATTTTACGTTTCAATAACCAAAATGAGAAATAAAAACTTTACACACCATTAAAAACTTTACAATATTATTTTATATATTTTTAATTGTTTTAATTTTTTTTTTTAATTTTTTTAGTTTTTAAAAATTTTTATTTTACTATTTCTCCCCCTAAATTTGCGCATAACAATATATATTTTTATTTTACTATATATATATATATATATATATATATATATATATATATATATATATAATTAAAAAATAAAATTGTAATCCAGAACAAAAACTTTTTGGGATCAAACGTTATAGAACAAATTTATGAGGTTTATCAGCACACACGTTCATGAAAAACCCTGGTGAATCATTAATATTGTGATCCACTTAGACACAAAGAACCTTTTTCAAGACAGATTATGAGTGACAATATATAACTACTATATTCCTAAATAGATCATTTCGTCTGACGACAACCAAGGATATTGTTGTACACTTAAATTTAGCAAGTAAAATTTCACCAGTCAACCTTTTAGTTTTGGATGTAGTTAAAGTTAGTACACTAAAAAATATTCCCCACTTCATGGCATACCCCAGTAATCAAGGAAGTTTCCTCAGAATCCTTTACTTCAGGTGAGTGGATAATCATTGTGGAATGCATATGTTGTGTCCCAGGTCGGATCTACCGTCATGAAGAGGGGACACCATATGACTAACATAGAGAGTATAATATTTTAGATTCATAGAAGACAACATACTAAATTAGAAGAAGTTAACATCATCTGAGTGCATATGTTGTGTCCCAGGTCGGATCTTCCGATCACACAAAGAGGATAACATATGATTGACCAAAAAGAAAGAATAACAATTTTAAATAGACCCAATTTATCAGAACCCCTTAGTCACCCCTATCATTACCCAACATATTGATGGGTTTTATGCAAAACATCAATCTTATGGTGTGCATGCAAACCCTAAAGCTTTGGATCTAGTTTGTCTGATGAACATGCAATAATCATCCAAAACTTATAAACCCTAGATCTAGCATACAATAATTGATATTATCATAATAAAAGAGTTTAGATCTGACCTTGATTGTTATGTAGCAATAACAATCTCAATTCCTCTTGATCTTGACTCTTGAAAGCTTAGTGCCTCAAATGTTGCACCTCTAATGGAGTCACAAACACCATGAACAACAAGATGAACAAGGACAGAGGAAGGAGGCTCCAAAAATGTCCTAGGGTTTCTCTTGGAAGGTTAGGGACGTTTTTGGCTTGCCAAGGGTTCCTTTTATACTTAGGCTTCTATGGTGTTTCAACTAGGAAACCCTAATCCGACTGCTTAGGCCTTAAGCACCCCAATGACCCTTCCAGAAGGCCCTTGGACGATTTGTATATGGATCTCCATATAGAATTCGTCATCATTCCTTTATGGATCCTAATTCCAACTTTGTAACTATCTTATAATTACAGTATCAGTCCCCTTTATTTAATTAATCTCTTTTAGTCACAAATTAATTCTTAATTAATTATTGACTAATATTAATTAACAATATGATTTCTCTTTTAATATATTATTCACATAATATATTAATAAATCATAATTAATCCTCTTTATTCCTTAATTCACCCTATCAGTTGCTATGGTAAAGGCAATCCAAAAGGACTATGCTCGTAATCAGGTCAAGTACATACGAAAATGGTTATAAGCTTAGACACCTAATCTAATAGTCTCCCACTTGGATAAGTTTAATAACTATTTTGCATATAACTTTAGAACCTGATCAACAATCGTAGCTTTCAAAAGACGTTGTCAACTCTGATCTTATCAGTAACTAGTCCTTTAGATAAGGGATCGTATATTCCTCGATTCTAGATATCTTATGAACTGAGACATGCGTTTTAATCATACTCTTTGTTCATGTGTTGTTTCCCAATTTCCGGTTTATGATGACTGGCAACAGACTACAATTGAACACATCAACTTAGTCCCAGCTTGGCCAAGCGCTTAGGGTGTCATCAATAAATCATCGAGGGGCCCACATATATTGCTTTTATCCAAATTTGGGTAAAAGGAATGGATAAACTTCGACTCAAATGCTCACTTGCACTCATTCATCAAATCACACACAACAATAAGTTTTATAACACCAAGTTACTGGTGCGTTTACTTATTATTAATGTGCAACTGACCAATAAATAACAACTCACATGTCTTGGTTTCAAGAATATAAGATATTATCGTCTCACTAATCACCCGTGATAAATCCATGAAGTGATTCAAGTGAGCATGGGGTTAATCCAATACTCTAATCTTATTACAGGAGCACTCATGAACTCTGCAGAAAACTTGTGCTATGTCTAAACACCTTAGACAATCTACAGACCGATTCATGATATTCTTGCTTCATACCTACTTCAAACGTATGACCGACTGTGGAGGTTTGAATAACCTAGTTATTATGGAAGTCAAAACATTCAAAGTGAAACACATTAATAATATTAATCCTATATGGCCCCAAACTTTTGAGTACAAATAAAAAAACATTTTATTTACTCACCATATTGATTACTCATTATTCATTGTCTAATGTTTTGGATAATCAACTTAACCCTTGAATTATAACAACAGTTGTCCCATGCTTCAAGCATGCACACTATGTTTACCTATGGTCCTTCTTTTTTGAAATAGATCAATTGAACACATTTCCAATGATACTCATCTCACAACTCCTAATCCTTATTATTAGTGTAAGAATGTAAAATTCTTCCTATTATTAGAATATGTTTGATTCTAACATTTTATGCAATGACCCTTTGTAAAGTAACAGTACCAAAATCACAAAGATTTTGCCAATGAAATTACAAAGTGCTCTATTGGAGATTGTTACAAGACAATCCCATAAACATGAAGTCTCACATTCAAAGTATATTCCTTTGAACATCCTTCTTGCATAAAAGTCTCTAATCTAGACATAGATTCTCGATATCCAACTCCCAATGTGGAAAAATTTCCATATTTTCCATACGACAACTCATTCTAAATAGAGTCTTATCTATTCATAATAATGTCAATATGGTCCATCCAATACTATACTTCCAACTACTCACAAGCAAAAAAAAAATAGCAAACTTCAGATCATCCTTTGATAGTTGTTTAATTAGTTTAGTCAAATCCAGTTCTAGTCCCTTTTCCCTCTTAATGCCCTAGGCATTTGGAAAATTTTAGAACAGTCAAATATTACAGCATATGCAATCGATCCTATACCTGAAGCGTATGGGACACGATTCATAATGAAAATGTGATACTTACTAGTTTCTTGTTGTTATATTGCCATATATAGAATTTCCTTATGTTGAATCTTTCAACATAACATCCATATATGTCCTTTGATTAAATTTGATTAAAATTTCTCGATCCAAGCTTTTAGATTTCGAAACGAAGTATGATATTATCTCCCTTAAGTATAGAAAAACATTTGTAAACCCATGCAACTTTGCAAAGTGAAACCTTTTGTTTTCTATAATTAATATTGCTAACTTGAAATACTTAAAACAATAATCATGCTCCTACTAACACGATGATTATATCCATACCAGGATAACATTTATGCTCCCACTAGCTTTGTCACGTATTCAGAAAACAGTTGGACTTCTAGAAAACAATACTTATCGACTTCCAAAGTTCATATTTCTAATACGATATGCTTCGATAAGCCTTTATCTAAGTTTCTCAAACTCATACACCTTTCCTTACATAGCTCATTTGTGTGTCTAAACCATTTAAGAACTTATAGCAATAAGTCTTAAATGTTTAAACTAATTGCCAAATCTCATACTTCGAACTATGAAGAGGGATGCCGTAATCGTAATCGAATTTGAGAATTGCAAATATCACAATTACTATCTCCTGAAAATCTCTCTTAATGAAAGCGTTTCCTCACAATCATTTTGATGAAGGTAATAAACCTTATGACACTTAGATTTTATGGTGTATGTGTTCCTATCAATGTGAATTTGTCATAACAATGATCATAAGAGAATGTTTGTGACAAATCCAACTCATATGGATCGAACTTGTTTGATCTTAATTTCTTGCCTTACGGTAGCACGAATGCCCACCATTGCTTCCAGGTTGTTAAGCAATTCACTTATATCAATGTACTTTCCATTGATCAAGATGTTTTGCCTTTTGCAATCAAATGAGAACTCATAGAACTCATATGTATACTTGACTTAAAATTGGAATGGCATAGAAACAAGAATATGTCAACATGATAGGTTACAAACCTCAAGTCGTGTGCTAGTGTTTAATAGTAGGTTTACTCTTGATTAGTTCTTGAAACT